GTTGCAGGAGGTGAGCTGGCTTCAAACAAATGATGAACGCACAGAGATGTGGTGCGGAATGTGCCGTGAAAATTTAATAAATGACAAATTAAAAAGGCATGAACGTTTTGTTTTGTTTTTTTTGTATCGAAAAAATATCGAACCGAACCGTGAATTTTGTGTATCATTACACCCCTAGTGGCCAGGTGCCTCAGTGCATCCCGCAGTCTTGTTCTTACTCCTTAAAAGGATATTTGAAAAGTTGACAGCACTCTGCTGCTCCACTGGCACAGATACACACATTCTGCCAGGAGCTTGTGCTGCCTTTTCAATTGGAAAATCAAAAAACAGGTCCCTCTGGATTATCACACGCAGCTCATATTGATAGCTTTTTAGAAAGTTTGGCCCAATTGGCAGCTTGACAGTTGGAAGTCGGGGTTGTAACAATTCGTACATTGAACGACTGAAAGTTTCTGTATTTAGCTTCGTTGACTTGCTAATAAAACATTACTTTCAGTAGTAATTAGGGCTGCACGATTTTGCATAAAATGAGAATCACGATTTTTATTTTTAATTTTTAATTTTTTGGCTTAGAATTGAGATCACGATTCTCTTTTCCAGTATAAATATTTATTGCACTTATTAACTGCACATCAACTTCGTAACAGTTGAGACTGAACATAAAAACAATAAATAAACATAAAAACAAAATGCGGTACAGTCGTCGTCTTTTTTTTCTTTTTTCTTTTAAATCATTGTCATTTGGAAATGAGATCGCACATAAGTATGAATCGAGATCGCGATTTTCTAACGATTAATCATGCAGCCCTAGTAGTAATCGTCTCTGTGTACCTGCAGTGACTGTATAAGGATATCTGCTATTCTCAAATCAAATCACTTGGATCACTCAAATCATACAAAGCCAAGAACAAAAACAGGAAATAAAAAATTGACCATCCAAATTTTTAACAATATTTATGATGAATATAAGGAAAAGCATTATATAAGACAGTTCTTATTTAAAGTTGACTTATTGATTTGTTGGATTCATTTGGGCTTGTGTTCTAAGTGTTTTTTGTTTTTGTTTTTTTGGGTGGTTTCTGAATCGGGTTAGTTTACAAGATTAAACTGCGTCATGTTCAAAGTTGTTCACCGTCGCTTTGGATCAAAGCACCAGCCTGTCCCTGAGTCATGAATTAGGCTGTTCTTTAGACAAAGATTCACACCCTTAATGAGATAATGATTGACGTGCTAGTCAGCCGCATCATTTCATCTCTTTACTTATAATGTAGTCTAGTCTCGTTTCTGACTCACAGTTCTACATATATCTCATTAGAAACCCTCTTTCTCCTGAGTGATTTATGTAGCTGGAGCCCAAGTCAATGTGTTTTTATCTGCGTTTACTCTTAAGATTCTGTGCTGCGCTCTGGTGTTTTCTTACTTAATCTATAGTTTGAATCAGGCATTTTCATTCCACATCTGTCCCTGCATTTTGCTTTCAGAAGTATCCAGTGCTGCCTTACCTGATCTTCGTGCTGAAGCAGTTTCTGCTGCAGAGGGATCTAAACGAAGTCTTCACCGGGGGCATCAGCTCCTACAGTCTCATCCTCATGGTCATCAGTTTCCTACAGGTACAGGGATGTCATGTCACAACAGTTGAAGCGGCTTATGTTGTAGTAGTGCTGCTTGATAATATCGTGTGCGTATGTATGTATGTATGTATGTATGTATGTATGTATTTATAGTGGCATAAGCAGAAGTAGTTTATTAGCTGTTGTAGGACAACATAAAATCAAATCTTTATTAGTGAAGCAGTTGTCTCAAATACACCCTAATCCAGTCTCTTTCCTTTCTCTTCAGCTCCATCCTCGTATCGATCCCACCAACCCCAGTGAGAACCTGGGAGTGTTACTCATCGAGTTCTTTGAGTTGTATGGCCGTAATTTCAACTACTTGAAAACAGGGATTCGCATTAAAAATGGAGGCGCATACATAGCCAAAGAGGAGATTATGAAGGGCATGACAAATGGATACAGGCCATCCATGCTCTACATAGAGGACCCTCTACTTCCAGGTGTGTGTGAAATACCATCTGTCTCTAAACAAATAAGACTTTAAGCTACATTTTCAGGTTGGCATTTATGATCCAAAGAGAGGTCATCAGTGTGTCATACTATGTTTGATTTTAATTTTTAGTATCATTTGGTCTTCGTCTTAAGACTGGCACAGCAGCTAAATGTTTAAACCAATTACTGTAAAGGTTTAAACCTGGATTGATTTGTTTAAAACCATAAAATGATTTTTAAAGATGCTGTATATATGTAAAACGGACATAAAATACAAACATTTGGAAAACTTTTTGAATACTTTAAGATATTTTTGCTATTGAAAGCTACACTTAGCCAGTTGGCTTTAATTTAGCTATGCTATGTTACTCTGGTAGTAGTTTGCAGTGTTAGATGATAAAGTAGCTTGAAAATAAAAAGTTAATTCACTATCCTGATCAGCCCAGGGAGAGTATTAACTGGCCTTATGTTACTAAGCTGGATAGCTCACAGTGTTGGAGCTTAGCTTATATCTGTGTTAGAAGGCATGCTAGCATTAGCCAGAACAGAGCTAGCTCATAGTCTAATTATATTCTCCAAATGAAATGAAAGTCAGTCAAGAAAATACCCTGCTGATGTTATCCCAAGTTTGTCCTTGTCTTGAATCATCTACGCATTTGGCCAGAAGGGGCTTTTTTTTTTTTTTTTTTTTTTTTTTTTTTTCTGGTTAGCATTGGCTAACAGTATACTACTCGCTAATTTAGACAATTTGCTAAATACCCACTAAAGCAGCTAGCTAGTGTGGACTCTTTGGGGAGAGTGCCATCTATTTTCGGTGTTGTACTGTGTTGAGAGCTGATATTTGCTGGCTTTAGTGATTAGTGTTCTCCTTTGGCTAACGTTAGCTTATTGGGGTGCAGGGAAGCTGAAGAAAAGCGTTGAGGCATTTAGTATAGGGCCCAAATATCCCATTTCGCATTTCACTCACTGACGGTTTATTTTTTAAAGCTTGTATTATACGAAATGCTGCATAGTGCACTTTAATCACATGTATTTTTATATAGCTCACTCCAATACTCTGTCCATTGTGTGTTGAATAATACATTTTAAGATCAGTCATGCTTTGCACATTTTGCAATTAAGTAACAAGTAATCTAACAGCCACTAACAATTTTAGAAAATGTAAAACTTGGTTAAAACCGGTTAAATTGGTCTTTTTAAAATTTTCCTCTCTTGTTTCCCCTCCACCTTGTAGGTAATGACGTGGGAAGGGGTTCCTACGGTGCCATGCAAGTCAAGGAGGTGTTTAATTATGCTTTCATTGTCCTGAGTCATGCTGTCTCCCCGCTTGCACAGTCATATCCCAACAAAGACTGTGAAAGGTTAGAATCCAAGCTATTTAAAAGTAATACTGACACCATAGAAACATTTAAATAAAAAAGCTCTTCTCTTATCTATCTTGTCCCTGCAGCACATTGGGGAGGATAATCAGGTTGACCAAGGAAGTGATCAACTACAGGGAATGGATCGTTAAGAAGTGGGGGGGCAGAGATTTGGTGCGACCGGACAACAGAGGTACAAATCATTGGGTTTCAAAACAAAATAGATGCAGTTTTCCCATTGATGCTATTAAATTCTCTCATTAAGCATCAGCTTTTTAATTTTTAATTTTTTAATTTTTAATTTTTTTTAAGCATGATATATATTCTTACCACTAATCCTATTTCTTTAGTGTCGCCTCCCAAAAAGCCTGTGTCGGAGCAAGAGAACTGTGTGCTGGGAGGTGGTGTTGGGTCAGATGAGCAGCAAAGGGATTCGGTGTCACCCCACAGCGCGGACTCTCCCATGTCCATCTCCAGCCCCCAGCAGCACTCGTCCGCCTCATCAGTGTCCTCACTGTCTGGGTCTGATAACGTAAGAAACCCCATGCAGGGCGAGTAACAATGCACACACTGCTTGTATTTCTGATGTAGTTCTTGAAAAATACCAAACAGTTTCTTCTGATTATGCACTTGACATCCAGCATAGAAGGATAATGTTGCCACACACAGGACATAACTACATGCCTCTTATCCTTCTCATGGTAGTACAGCTTAATTTACTGTCATTTTATTCTAGTATTCAGATGGAAATCTGTTGTTGTTGTTGTTGTTGTTGTTGTTGTTGTGTTTTTTGTTTTTTTTAAACAATGTCCTCTGCTTTGATCCATCAGGACTCTGATTCAGCGTTGCCATGTCCCCTCCCTCCACCAACCCTGCCAGCTTACCCGCCTTTCCCACCACTCGGCCTAGCTTTAACTCCAGGCCTCAACATGAGCACCGGCAAACCTGGCATGGGGGGACACCATCTGCTCATGCCTCCAGGTTCCCAGGTAGGCACGCAGCCGTGGCTACAAGCAGCAGTGATTGCCTGAATTAGCCTGAATTTTACATGTAAAATGGGATTATATGGTGGTTAAAATTTGGACTACAAATGAAGCATATTAAATCAGTAGGGTAGAGAACAAGACATAAAATGTGCAGGTTTTTGAAGATTTTTATTGCAGTATTCGATTAAAAAAAACTAAACCACTAGATTTCCAATTTAAATTCTGCCTCTTTCCCCAGGCTCGCGTCTCACTGCCCGGTGGTCTAGCAATGCACTCCATGCCTGGCAGACAGGTGTGTATAGACACCGGGCTCCCCCCCTTCTTCCACATGCACCCCCCAGCCCATGCTCATGCCCCTGCCCCTTCCAGCCCCCAGCCTCCGCCCAGTCCCCACTCCAGCCACACACATAAGGTAGGCGCTGGATGCCACAACCACACTCAAATGCACTACTGAGACAACCTTGTCTCCCACACAGGGTTTCCACTCTGTCATTTCATTTCTTGTCTCTCTTCAGCGTCTTCATCCTATGTCACGTTTGTTATTTCTCATTTTATGCTGTCATTATTCTGTACAGGTTACATAAAAAATTCAATTGCTATTTGCGTTCCAATAACTAATGACATTGCTGCAGCTGTGATAGTGCTTAAAAACTGGTGATTTTCTTGTGCCCGCCTTTATGCTAAACCAAGCTAGCTTTCACCCATATGCACCGCATTGGTCGCTGCTGTTTATTGTAATGATTGGTCAATGTGGCCGCTGCATTACCCAGAGGGAGCCACGCCTCCTAATGCATGCACCATGAAGAGGTTTGGTTTTGATACAAATGCCAGACATCTATTTATGGAAATTGGTTTTCCATACCACATGCATAATATATCTAAAAGGGAATATGACAAAATCTGCAGCTGGCTTTTCGTATGTTTTGGTGACGTTTAAAAAGTGGTGAGTGCTTTAAAAAACCGACTGCGAAATGTAAAAACTGAAGAGTTTACTTCAGCATTGAAATGACTCGTCTGTCCAATCCTGTGAGTCTTTATCGTTTGGAAACGTTCAATCAAAGAAGAGCACAAATAATACTGTGCGCTTTTTTTATTTATTTTGTTTTGGGGGTTTTTTCCCCCATATTTGTCACACTTAAATGTTTCAGATCATCAAAGACATTTTAATATTACACAAAGATAACTGGAGTATTAAGGGGGGAAAACCCATCCAAGCCTACCTAACATTATGTGGAAAAATGAATTTAGTTTCACTAGCCACACTCAGGTCTGATTACTGCACGACCTGATGAATCAAGATATCACTTAAAACATATCCTGTGTAACAAAGTGAAGTAGGCTAAACGATCTTAACAGGCAACATATCATCATGCCGTGAACTAAAGAAACTCAAAGGATGAAACGTGGAGTCGTTGCTGTCTATTAGTTTGGGAAAGGTCACAAAGACATTTCCAAAGCTTTGTGAATCCAGCCAATCAACTGTCCACAAATGAAGAGAACTTGAAACACTGATGAACTTTTCAGAATTGGCTGGTCTGCCAAAAAATAGTCTAAGAGCCTCAAAAACTCATCTAGGAGGTCTCAAAAAAACCCAGAACAACAAATACAGAACTGCTGGCCTTACTTGCCTCAGTAAGAGTTCCTTAGGAAAAACAAACGCTGCCAACTAAAAAACAAAACAAAAACGTTTGTCCCACATTTTTGAAAATATTCTGTGGACTGACGAGACAAAAGTTTAACTTTTTGTAAAGTTTGAGCCCATCAAACATCAGCTGTGGAACTAACACAGAATGTTATAGAAAAGATCATCATTGCAACAATCAAAACATGATGGTGCTAATGGTGTGATGGTCTGCAGCTGCTTTACAGCTTCAGGACCTGGATGACTTGTTTTAACTGAGCACCATGAACTCTAGAAAATCCAGAAAAATGTCCAACCATCAGTTTGTCTTCCGAAGCTTAAACACACTGGGGTTATAACCAGTTTTTTTCTTTTTTTTAATGGTTTTGGAGTGGACTAGTCTAAGTCCAGACTTCAGTCTGATTGAGATGCTTTAGCGTGTCCTTAAACAGGCCAGTCATGGTGGAAAACCCTCCAATATGTCTGAATTTAATCCTGGAAAGAAGAGTGGGCCAAATATTATGTTTCTGTCTAATATAAAAAATTATTTGATCTGAATCATGTGCATGTGACAAATATGCAAAACAAAAGAAACCAAAGACTTCTTCACAGCAGTGGCAGCTTGTATATCGGTTCCTGCCTTCTAGCTCCAGCGTGCATTTATTTCTGTGTTGTGGTTTTGCTCATGTTTAAACACAGAGCAACCACAAAGACAAGTCCGCACACAAATCTGTTGGGATCACAGCCTTGATCCTTTTCCCTCAGTCTTCTCCTCGTCTCCATCTCTCTTCAGAACGGAGCCAAGTTCAACGGGAAGGGCTTCCACAATCCGCCACTGGTCAACAATGCTGTTATGGCTAACCGTGGATACACGCAGCATCACCGCAACACTTGGCGACGCAGGAAGAGGGACAGCCTGCCGGTTAGCCTGAGCAGATAGAAACCTCTCTTCGCCGTTTCCTCAGTCTCCTCTCCGACCGCATGCCGTGGCTCTTCGTTCGTCTTGAAGGAGGATGGACAGGCAGACAAGAGGACCAGAGACCAGCAGTTTTTACTCCGAGGGCTCCTCGACATGGAACAGCAGCCCTCAGCTCTGCATCTTCCTCCTCTCTGTACCTTCCCTCCCCTTTTTCTTTTCTTTTTTTTGCATGACTTTAATTCCATTTTTTTTTCAGTATTGTGTCTTCCTTCTCTGCATTCAGGTCGGTTTACTTTTTTGGAACTTGGCATTGACAGTATTGCTAAGCTCACTTGACCTCATCTCGACCCTTGCAGCCAAGCTGCCCACGGTTTCCTTTTTACAGTTAATACACTTAAAAACAAACGTTTTTTTTCTCCATTTTGTGCAATAATGTTATTTTTCTTTTTGAAACTAAAGTAAGAGCTTATTTAATTTCGTGCGTGTGTGTGTATATGTAAAGGCATTTTTATACTGTTATTTTATTTTTGTAGAGTTTTAAATTTTGTTTACGAAACCTTTCCCCAGGCAGCATCTCTAAAGTGTGCGTGTGTGTGCGCATCTCTCCATCAGGTTGAGATGGACCCAGGTTGAAATGACCCCTCTTCTTCTCTCCTCTTTAAATGTGGTCTGCTCAAGGGAAGCCGTATCAGAAAAGCATCATCTTGGCATTTCTGATCATTTCTCTTCACATGTTTTCTGAAAATGGGCGAGGTGGGCAACAAAAGGGGAAAAAAAAATTCCCTATGGAAGTTTTGTTCCTCGCTCCAGTTTTTCTAAGGCATGCTGAGGGGAAGTTGAGGGAATGAAACTCTGCCCTGGGATATCCTTGAAGCACAGGGAGAGGCTCAAGTTTTGTGGCCACCTGAGGATTGTGTGACTGCGCGTATCTGTTTGCGTCTCTTACGGGAATGTGTCGTTGTCTCATTTTGTCGTTTGGGGAGAGAAGGCTGGCAAAAGAAGGCTGGCCTGATAGCTTTGTCTTGGCCATATCTCTCTCCGCCCGGAGGATTTTCAGCCTGTTTTGTTTAGGCTTTGTGTTCATTTTTTCTTTTAAAGTTGTTGTTGTTGTTGTTGTTAATATTTTTTGTAGGAGCATTGGGGGGCCACGAAGGCAACAGCTTATCTGACTTGAATTAGAAGATCAAGAATGACGGGCAGAAAGTCACTGAGCTGTGTCAGAGGGGGCGTGGCTGTGGAAAATCTGATCCCAGGGCTGAGGTCAGCTCTCGCCCGCAGCTGTAAATTAGCGCAGACCAACACTTTAGCTGCTCAGCGATAAGGTTTCTCTCCTTTTTTTGTGGTCCTGGACAAAGGAGGAGGGAGCGAGGGTGGGGGGTTTCTTCCTGAACCAAGGACCCTGAGTGAAGGGAATTATATTTTGATTCCATTAAGGAATCTTGTGTGTATTCGATTGCCAGGTACTTCCGCTAATTGTTTGCAATGCCTTTCTTTGTGTTTACTCGGGGTGTGTATGTGTGTGTGTGTACCACGTTTTCCTGCGAGCACACCGCGCCACACAAATACACACGCTGTCGAAGGCTGTGACTCGCCCAGAAACACTACACATGCCGGTGTTATTACTATGCAAGTGGATTCTTCTAATTATTGTGTCAATTCTTGTATTTTATTTTTGGGGTTATTTTTTTCCCATTGACAAAAAAGCAAAAAAAAATGTATCCAAAAAAAAAACCAAAAAAAAAAAAACCACTCACTGCTTGTTGGACTAGAGTGATGTTACTGACTGTCAGACTTCTCAAGCCAACACATGTAAACTCTAGCCCCCATCCCCTGACCCCCACCCGTGCCACAACTCCCTTGTGTTTGTATGAAGGCCATGATGTGTTTAAGACCCAGTATTTCTGCATCTTGTCAGTCAAATGTAAGGAACAAGGGGGATGTTAATGTCAGTGGTCGGGTCTGAGTCTGTGTAGTGTGTGTGACATAGTGAAACGTGTGTGAGAGACTCGTGACTCGCCACCACAGTTGAATTTTTCTTTTTCTTTGGTAATCGTACGCCCGACCGTTCACGAACGAGCGCCACCCACAGAGCGACTTGCTCTCTGCAGGTGCTCTTCGCAAAGGGCCAAAGTGTCCGTCAACAATTCCTGACTTTTTCTTACTTGCACGCATTCACTGCTGTTACACTGTTTTGTTTTGGGGTTTTTTTTTGTTTTGTTTTTTGTTGTTGAACCATGGCAGCTCGGATCTGTCGGTCAGAACTGCACAGCAGGTTTGCTGTTTTGGCCGATAGGTCACAGGGCAGAGCTGATTACGAGCTAATCATAACCTCCAGCTTACAAATTCCTTTCATACTTAATAAATTTGACCAGAAAAATCAAAATCATTGACCAATGGAAAGGGTGAGAAGTTCTTGATGTTTTCTGGCGTATACACTCTCACCCTATTATTCCCTATTACATTTTTTTTTTTTTTTTTTTTTTTTTTTTTTTTTTATAGATAATTTTCTGTCTGTAGGGTAATAATCAGAATTGAACATTCAGCACTGACTTTCATGCAGTTGTAGGCCAATAGTAATTTGATAACAAGAGGAATTAAGTTACCCTTTCAAACTGAGATTCTTACAGCCGCGTTTTGCTTCTAGAGCTCAGAACCAGCAATGATTTGAGACAAAAAAAAATTAAATTGGGGATCGAAAGCTGTTGGCTCTGTTAGAGTTGCCTGCAATCTTAACAGCAAAGACTGACATGCAGTATCCAAGGAAGTCTGTGGAATAAAGAATTGTGCATCTCAGCGGTCCGGTGTAGCCAACTCACCCTGTCTACTTTCCTTTGTTCCTTTTTCCTCACCAGAGGGTCAAAACAATTAGGTCAAAGCTTCAGTTGCGCTCTTCCACATTGTCCTGACTTCTCCCGATGGTTTTAAAAGTGAGGCGGAAAAGGAAGCGAGGAGAGTTGGATACTTGACTTGGACCGCTGAGATTTTGCCATACACATGTACATGTAGATGCAATGTAATATTAACACCCCCCCTCTTCATTGCAATACAATGAGGGATTTTAAACTGGTGGCTGCTGTTCAGAGAAAGATGGCAGCCCCTCAGTGTCCTGGCTGATTCATGTGAGCAGTGACCCTCGAAATGGACACCAGTGGCCAGAGGGAACCACTGCCCAGCTTTTCTTTTTTTTCTTTTTCTTTTTGTTCTTTTTGACATTTTTATGTAAATATTTTTTTTCTATTTTATTTTTTAATAAACATTTTAAAACTGCCAGTCTGTGTGTGGGTTTGTCTATTTGATTTAAGTGTGAGTGACGGAGTCACACAAGCCTAGGAACCGGTTTGCAACCACCAGTTGCTAAGAAAACATGAATATTCCTCGATTTCTGCGAGTTTTCGAGTGGTTGCTGGGAGAAATTGGTTGAAAAGGTCACGCCTGGATTGAGTGGAAGATGTCTGCAAACACTAAATAATTGCAAAGTGGTAGTGAACCTGAAAAGTGCTACGTACACAGTCTATAGTGACCATTTGCCTTCCAAGTAAAAGTTGCCCCTTTTGAAACTGGTTTCTGCTGTAAGGCATAATTTGATTTTGAAGTCAAAATAAGTTTCCTGTTTTGTACTTTAAGTTTCTCTCCCTCTTTGTTAGTGAGTATATGCAGACAGGTCATCAAGCGCCTCAATTTGCTATTGACCAAAGCAGTCACAAGGTTTTTGGTGTAGCATGCTCTTTGTAACAGATTTCAGTGACAGCCAGCAACCAGTCTCTAACTGGTGGAGAACGGGGATCTTTCCAGGACCTTCCCATGGTGTTCCTGACACATCTATAGACCTGTGCAACTGAGGCCTAAGGTGATGGTGTAAAGAGATTACTCCATGTTTCACAAGGTGGTAAGAGCTATCTACAAAGTATCCCATTTGTAGCACCGTGGCAACCGTACAGTCTTTGGTTTGTGACTTGTGATTGACAATGACTTATTAGCCAATAAGCGAATGATTTCATAGCACAGAATATGAAACATGGTATGACCTACATTTACTAAACAGACTTTATTTTCATTCAATATTCCTTCAAACGAATGACTGAGCCCTGAAGCTCAGCAGAATAATGTTTACAGAGATAAAGTTGGAAAGCCAATTTCCCATAAACTTGTACAGGACTGGAGGTTTTTTAGCAACCATAGATCTCCATCTGGCACCCTTTAGGTAGAATGCAGATTTAACGTATTTCTGGATTAATTTCTCTAACCCAGAATGTACAGTTGAGGCCAAAAGTTGATATACACCCCACATGGGCATCGGAGTGAAAGTAATTTAGAGCTTTTAACAATTTCTGTGATCAGTTCTTTTTCCAGAGTGGAACAATTGTACAGCATACATCTTTGCTCATTTTAAAAATGAAGACTTGGGTCCACAAATTTGACTTTATTTTGATTTTCTCTAATCCACACGAGGTCCCGGCTCAAAAGCCACAACATAAATATGGAGACGAACACCAGAATGTCAACGCCAAGATGTTTTATCTTAAATTACATAGCAAGTGGGCTGAAATACCTGGTACACCAAGGCAAAGACTAGTGAGCCTCCCTGAAAGCCTGTCTCAGGTGTGCCTTTACCCACACCTGACTAGGTGTGGTCAGTTAGCAACAGCTGGACACTCTTGCACTGCCGCTGCAGAGGGGCGTAACACCTCCACCCTCGAAAGGGTTCCGCTAGGACCCCTGAATGAATTAAAAGCCCCTCTGAAGCCTTCTGGTTCTTGATCCCCCAAACCTGAAAGAACAGTAAAAGCTAGCAGAAGCAGAGTGTGTCCAATTTGGAGGTAGTCGGCCTCCATTATTTCATCCCTATTGTTTGATGTACCTGTACCACTCGCAGCAAAACAGACCCAGAGCATGGTACTGCCACCACCATGCTTGACAGCTGATAGTGTTCTTAGATTCGAACGCCTCACCTTAGTCCTCTATGGATTCTGAGGCCAGATAGAACTTTTGCTTGCATACAGTTATTTGATCTGATAATCTTACTCTGTAGTTGTTTAAAAATGTCTGAAACAGACCCTCTAAACTTGTTTAAATCTCTAATTCTCCTCCTTAGTTGCTCCCTAAACTACTGTTCTCAGTATTAATCCAGTTAGAGCCGTCAGATCCTCTTCACAGAGGCAAAGAGAATTTACCATTTGTAGTAAGAAGTTAATAGTTCTGGCCTTTTCAAGTTCAGTCATTGTAGAACCTTATTAAAAGATTTACGTGAGTGTATGTATTTATAAATTTGTATGTATAAATTTCACTTTGTGTGGATTAAAGAAAATCAAAATAAATTCAAACTTGTGCACCTAGTTCTTGTCTTTTTAAAGTTATAAAAGATCTATGCTGAGCAATCGTTCCACATTTCAACCAACGCATTAAAATACCAAATTACCGTGGCATTCATGCCCATGATGAGTGGGTTTAAACTTCTAACCACAGCTGTAAATTTGTGGT